TGAGCCGGCTCAGGGCTCTTGTTTGATGTAGAAGTTGGCAGAACCATTGCTTTCCTGATCAGATGCTCCCTGGAGGAAGTTATAATCCTCCCCATCCAGCAACTCCTCCTTCAGCTGCAAAGTGGTCATTTTCTTATGTCCTTTGTATTGCTGGGACTTAGCCTTTTTCTTCTGTTTTGATGAAGCGGACTGGCTTTCTCTTGATGACTGCGACGCTGGAGGCTGCAGCTGGTATCCAGTTAACTGACACCACCCGACAGGATAGAGGTCAGGGGACTCACAGTCTACCCACTGATCGTACTCTTCCTCCCATCCATCAAAATGGATCCTCAAGAGACGATGAATAATTCGAGTTACTGTGGCTACACATATTAAACGTGGCTCCATGAGGTCTACTGCTTTTAATTTCATTCCTACACGGAATCCGTGATTTGGAACATCCTTATTAAACAGTTTTACTGGTGCTGCAATGGAGCCAGTTTCCCTGAGGTAGTCAAAGCATTTAAAAGGAAGTTTTGTGTAACCTCTGGGCGGGGTAAGTTCAATCATGTTAATTTCACAGAAACCAACAGGGAAAATGGAAGGGGAGGTCGCGTGGTAACAGAACCAGTCAGATCCGTCTGCTGCTTCCGAGCCGTCGATCCCGATCATCAGGTAGCCGTCAGCCAGCACCTTTCTAATGGTCGCAACACATATCGTGGAAAGATTTAAGGGGTCTATAGCCTCCAATTTCATTCCTTCCTTGAACCACTCTCCACTCTGGTCTACTTCTTTCACCTTAGCAAATAAATGTGGTGGTGTATCAAAATGTCCATCCTGTTTCTTTGTAATATCAGATCTTTTGAATCGATGGCCTATGCTTCGAGACCAACCAATGTGGTGGATTAAGGGGCTATGCATATGGCACCAGAAGTCGTCTGTCCTGTCTTCACTCTCTTCGTACACCAGTCTCAATCTCTCTCTGGTTTTCACCTTAGCAAATAACTGTGGTGGTGTATCAAAATGTCCATCCTGTTTCTTTGTAATATCAGATCTTTTGAATCGATGGCCTATGCTTCGAGACCAACCAATGTGGTGCATTAAGGGTTAAGGGAGCACCAGTAAGTCTTTTCACTAGAAAAGCTTTCCAGTTTGTATATTTATGCTGAATAGTTCTAGGAGGGACAAGGGGCTTCCCACTGGCTGCACACCACCCAACTGGATGGATATCGGAACCACATATATTACACCAGAAGTCCAGACCAGAGTCGTTTTCAAATCCTTCATATCTTAAGAGAGCGTTGTAACCTGCTAATTTTACAATTCCAGCAATCCAGAAGACTTTGGTAGGTAGGCTGCAGTCTGTATTGGGAACTTCTACTCTCACGTTTTCTGAGATGTCACCCCAGCAGGTCCCCATTGGTGCGTGTTTAAAACAGGTAACCGGAGCTGCTAGAAAGCTATTGCTATTGATGTAGTTGCCCCAGCTGAACCCCTCCATGGAGACTGCTTTCGTCTTTGCTTGATTTTGCAAGGTAGCTTGATACTGAGCGTAAGCGGCTAGTTTAG